GAGTGTCTATAGCCAACATGATGAGGCTTTGTGGGATGGGTTGGAAGTGTCAGCAATAGGAATGATACCCAAAACACAAAAAGGACACGTGTTTTCAGTCAAGAATAATGTAAGATATTTATCAGGATTTCTCAAGAAAACAAAACTGAAAGGTTGACACAATCTACACTATCTAACGAAGCAACTTGTCACTTCTTGAAACTCTGCAAAGTGACACCAGTCACTGGTCTCAGTGCAAGTATGGGAAATGAAGGAGGAGCTAACATTCCAGAGAGATCTAGAGGAAGCTCTATCCTCACTGTTTCTCTCAAAATCTCCTTCAGCTGGGGTGATAAGGCACTTTGGGAGTTCATCTGCTTAAACAGACAGAAGTATATATAAATATAAATATACTTAACTAGCTTATACTCTGTTTTTAACCAAATACATGGTTACAATAATCTGGATTATTTGGCAGCCATAAAACAGACAAGGTCCATTAAAAATATTGCTACCAGAATCATAAAATTGATGTTTGAGGTTTAATATAAATAAATGTAAACATAACTTCCTCCAAAGTGAGAATTGGTACCATGACATGGAAACATCTTTTAATTAAATGTTATACAGAAAACAAAACACAATAAAGCATATATTTAAGGTATTATTTTTTGAAAAACATTGTGATTTTAATAGTAACTTACAAATACTTATATTTAATTTTCATTTCAAATACTTATATTTAATTTTCATTTCATGACTACAATCTCTCATCCATGTGTTTTGTAGTTTGACCTTTTGTCCTTTGTCCTTCTTTTCTTTCCCTGTAGTATCCTACACACACACACACAAACACACACACACACACACACACACATACAGACACATGCACACACACAGGCACAGGCACATACACACAGACACATTTTTATGTATTGGATATTCACATAGAAATACACAAATAGTTATGTAGTGGTGGCCCATGTTTGCAAGCTCAGCACAAAGGGGATGGATGCAAGACATTGAGGAATTTGAGGCCACCCAACCTGGGCTGCATAGTAAGTTCAGTGTTAGACTTGCACTTTGGACTTTGTCTCAAAAACGGTAGTGGAGGAGACTGGAGAAAACTCAACTGGTAACGAGCTAGTTTTTAAACCATGAAGGTCATCAGAGACCACTCAAAACAAGATGATATGGTGAGAAACAGGAGGCAGGAGAATACCAGGGTTTAAGAGCCAGTGGGGCTAGTGTAAACAGAATCCAACACCTCAAAGAAAGTTAGGCAGAGATTGTAATCCAAGATGATCATCCTACTGCCACAAGTGTGCTGTGACATGTGTGTACTCACACTCATACACACAAGTGCACACACATGTTTTTAAAGCCAAAGCTGTAATGACTTGAAAATTAATAATTTAATTTAACAACCAAACAAAAGATATACTTGCTTAGTGATATTGTATTGCACATTATATAGTGCAATAAATAGTAGCATTCTATGCTTAATGATGTTAGTTTCTTTAACATACTCTATTAGGATACTGATTTTTCAGTGAAATGCTTTTATCTCTGTGTCCTTGGTGATATAAGTCACTCCATTATGGTTATTATAGGGCTGAGTGAGGATAAAATCTCATATACACATAGAGAATAAAAGTGACAGATGATAGTTAGCTAAATAACATGTGCCACATAGTTGTATGAAGCACTAATTTAGAAATTTGGAGGAACCAAAGGGAATATCAATGAAGAATATCCTAGAGCAAGAAGGACTCAGTTTGATGAATTGGGCTATATTAAAGAAGTTCTGAGACTTTTTCCTTTTTTTCAACTATAGCAATAAAATAGACAAAACTTTTATGTGAGAAAGTAATATTTTACTCTTGGAAAAATGAAAACCTCGAACCTTTTCCTTAAGGGAAGAATTTTGCATTTAAACCATTGGTTCTTTAGAGACTTTTCAGGATGAAAAAATATCAAAAGATTCATTTTTACTTGGAGCATTAAAAAAGATGAAACACAAGGGGCTCCTGATATTTCTCTCATTTGAGTTCAGTGTCACGGTGGTTTGATGGGGCTTGAACAGTCATTTAAAAAGATATGCCAAGTAATTAAAAATATTGCAGGTAAGTTGAACATTTGACCTATTTGCTTATTTTAAGCTCTGCCTCGGGATCACTCCTATTCCATATTGCAGGCGATTCTGCAGAACTTATAGGCCACGCATATATTTAGCATGATGAATGCTGGTGCTAAAAGGCTACAGTCTGTCCCATCTGAGGCAGCATTTTATGTAAGTGTGGAAAGTTAGTGTGAGATTGTGGTTTACTGCAGCACACTAAGGAATTAAGAAAAGTTATACTCTAATATATGAATATTCAGGAGGAACATCCCATAAATGTACTGAGTTCCCATCACATCTCTCAAGCTGGATGATAAAATATAGTTTTAATTGAAAGGATTTTATTTTCATTACTACATTTGCTCAACATTATGTCTTAATGTTCTCATTAATGTATTCGTTTGTATTTTCATCTACTCATTTGTTCACCATGTATTTACTGAACATCAATTATGTCTCCAAATTTCCTCAGTTGTAGTGTACAGTGGCGATTAAAAGAATGGTAATACTTTCCTGTCTCTATTTTGGTATTGAAAAATATAAGAAAAAAAAGCACAAAAATACATGGTATCTGTATTTTTTTTTCACCAAAAAGGAAAACTGGAAAAATTAGCTTACAAAGAACAAAACATTTATTTGGTCTGCAGGCTTTGGAGATTGTTTTTTGTTGTGCTTGTTTGTTTGTCGTCTTTGGTTTTTGTTTTGTTTTCATGATGGGTAGTTTCCTTGCATTACTATTTGTGATGAGGCAGCCCATTGCAGTTGGTCCACAAGTCAAACTAAAACCCCTCACAAAGAGGTCAACAACTAATAAAAAAGAAGAGAAAAGCAAGGGTGTCATAGTCTCACAATCCTCTTTAAGATCACCACTTCAATGACCTAATGCCCTTCTATAGAGTTCCTACTCAGAAAGGCTGTACATACGACACACAAAGAGAGCATCCTAGGGATGAAGCTCTTAACCTATGAACCTCTGAAGACCAGTTATTATCCAGACCTTGGCAGGATTTTGTGGTGCACACTTGATGTGTGATCTGGATGCAGTGTTGTAATGAATATGGAAGGTAAAGTGTGGTTGCAGCCAAAACTCTCCAAAGCCTCTGTGAGCTGGTCCTGACAAGAAAGTCTCATAGGATGCCTGTGGGGGGAGCTATGTGTAGCTAGCTTGGAGACAGACTTTTTGAAAGAAATAGAAACAAAATACAAAACCCCTTAAATTGAGACTGTGATTGACAGCTTTGGGAAACACTAGAGAGGACTGTTGCTGGGGTAGAAATTAATCTGAAGAAGGAACCTTGAGGGGATTTTAGATTTTTTTCCTACTCTCTGAATGCTATTAAATCTAATGGAAGATATCAGCTGGGATAAGATGGTACATTGTAGGTTTCAATAGTTAAGTCTGGCTTTATAGCTGGGAATTGTTGGTCTTTGAGCTAGAAGGACAGCAGTTGTTCCATTCATAATCTTTATCAATAACACAGATGATAAATGATAGTGACAGGTTAGGCACTGAACGCTGGTCATCTGCCAGGTATACTCTGACACTACAGCAAATCAGTCTGATCACCAGAGACACTGATGCTTCTACAGTTTGGATAGCAGATGTGTTTTACTTCTTACTAGGTTTGCCAGTTACAAGACAGGATTCCCATTTAAATTTGAATAATATTCTTTGAATAATTTTAGTATGTCACTTGGAATTTAGTTTTTGTGCAAATATGCCCTACACAATGTAGCACCAGAGCTTTATTAAAATGGAGGTTGCGTTTGAAATACTAATCTTACAGCACATCCTGTAATTTTATATGACAAATATGGACACATTAACACTTTACCTAGCTACAATGAATATCTACTTCATTCATTTGTTTGAAAGTAGACTTAACATTCTATGCATAAGGATGCCTCACCCTACTTACTCTTACCCTCTGAAGGAATGAGTTTTCCTACAATTCCCTAGAATCTGGTGAGTTTTCTCTTCTTTCTCACTAGTAGTTACTGGTTTTTGACCAGCTAAAGAAGGTTCTAAGACACATAAGTATGGGTATTATTTTTGTTAATAGCCACCACAGTGGCTGTTCATATTCAGCAACATGCATCCTGTTTCCTGTATGCAGCATCCTGTGTCCTGTATGCTGCATCCTGTTTCCTGTATGCTGCATCCTGTTTCCTGTATGCTGCATCCTGTTTCCTGTTTACCATTCTTGCATTCTGTGTACCCTACTTTGCTACTTCCTCCCTGTCTGGCTGGTTACCCCTTGTGTCTTCCTGTCATCTCTTTTTCCTTCTCTCCTGAGTCTGCATACCCCTCTTACTTACTGTCACTGCCCAGAAGTCCTGTCTATACTTCCTCCCTTACTATTAGCCATTCAGCTTTCTATTAGACCAATCAAGTGCTTTTAGACAGGCAAGGTAAAAGAGCAATACGTCTTTACACAATTGTTTCGGCGTTCACGGCGAGGAATAATTTTGGTGTTTTTGAGTACTAGAGAGATGATAGCTACACCCAAGTACTGTGTACCCTACGGCACTCTTAGTTATTGGGCCATGTTGGTCAGTGTTCTTCAAAGGTATCATAGCTCAGTCGTATCAGTTACTTCCCTCCTATTGGAACTTGCATGACACTTTCTGGTCTTTTGAGAGATAATCCTGAGACAGGAGGCTTTCAGGTCATTTCTACCTTAGTGATCTCTGAAGTGAATGATATATTCAAGGAGAGGCTTAACTTTCATGTTTACAGGATAACCAAGGGCAACAACAATAGCCTGTTCTGTTCTGAGAATCTCTGGAACAATTTTAACTAACAAATCAAAAGAGAGCTTACAATGCTTGTTGTGAAAGACCCCAGGCCGGGGACTTTCACGGGAGGAAGACCCGAACCCAAGGAACAACGAGACCACGAGCTTGGATGCAACAGCAAGAGGCTTTATTTACACACGGGTACCCGGGCGTCTCAGTCTTGGGGGGCTGAGCGCCCCGAGCTGGGGACTCGGGGATTCTTTTATAGCAAAAAACTCAGTACAGAAGCGAGAAGCCTAGTTACAGGACCCTGATTGGGCAATTTAAATGAGGCTGGGGCTCAGAACGAGGGCAATTGAGGTTTTGCTTGGAACTCAAGTCTCGGCCTTGGCCCTATCTGAGGAACAATAGGTCTCTGTGCTTGCCCAATCTTGCTGGGCTGGCTATGCAGACAGCAGACACCTGTGTCCCTTGGCAGAGTTCCCTTCTGATAGTAGTGACTATTCAGCCATTCAGCCATTAGGACCTTGAGCTGAGCTCCCTTCTGATAAAAAAATGACTATTCAGCTGAGCTGTGGGGGAAACGGAATTTTCCATAAGCCTCAGCTGCCTGTGTATACTGGGCCGGGGTCTTTCAGTTGATGAGGATTTTCACACACACACACACACACACACACACACACACACACACACACTGGCAATGGTACCATTTTTACTCTCCTGCTTTCTGCATTTTTTTAGGCTGTCTACGGACCTTTGAAGATATGGAGCTGGAACACTCAAAGGAGAAATCATATGGCTATTTTCTCCAATCTATTACCTCGTTTAAACTATTTTTAAAAATCCATCAAATGTAAGCAAATTTCTCAATTTTATTTTTCTTTAAAACTGAATGCTATCCCCTAGTGTATATGTCCACTTTCATTACTCATTGATCAGTTGAAGGACATCTCCTCGTTATTATGAATAGAGCAACAGTGGATACTGCTGCGGAAATATCTGTGAGGCCTTTGGGCATATGTAGAGGAATGGTATAGCTGGCTCATATGGTAGATTGACTTTTAGCGTTTTGGTAACTGTCTGAAGTAATTTCCAGAATTGTTGGCCCAACAATCAGTGAACGAGGCTTCTCTTTTCCTTGACCTTCTTTAAAATTTGTTGTTTCTAGTTTGACTAGCCTTTGCCATTCGCACTGGGACAAGATGGTATCTCCAGGTTGTTTTGATTTGTTTTTTCTTCTTTTGATACCTGTCTCTTCAGGTCCCGGGATCATTTTTCAAATGTTTCAATTGTTTTTTTTTACCTCTTTGTTTTTGTGTTCTTTGTGTATTCTGGATATCAGTCCTCTGTCAGGTAAGTTCCTGGAAAAGATTCTCTCCCATTCTGGGGGCTTCCTCTTTTTTTCCTCGGGTTAAATATTCACCCATGCAGAAGCTCCTTTATTTGATGAAGTCCCACTTGTCAATTGTTGGTCTCAATTCTTGGGCAAATGGAGTCCCATTCAAAAAGTCTCTTTGTGGGCACATATCATGTAGGGTAATGGCTATTTTTTTTTCTTTTGTGCTTCAGATTCAAGTTTGGATCTTTGCTCCATTTTGAGATAGTTTCTCATACAAGATGTTTGCCTTTTATTTGTATGTATGAATGTTGATATGCTAAAAATGTACTGATTTATGCAAATGAAGTATGTATCCTACCAAGCTGCTAAATTTGTTTATCATTTCCAGACATTTTCTGGTAAAATTTGGAGGTTCTCTAATGTATAATATCATATCATCGGCAAAGAGGAATGATTTGACTTGTTTTATTTCTATTAATTTAATTTTCTGTCCTTGTCCATTTGTTTCCACAGTGCTTTGAGGAGAATATGGAAAAGAAATTTGGATGATGGACATCCATGTTGAGTTCCTAATTTCAGTGAAATTGTCCCAAGATTTAGTTCACTTAGGAAGGCACTAGCGGTGAGTTTTGTGGCTTCCACGCTTTCAATTTTCTAAGCTTGTCCATTGCTAGAGAAATACTTTTTTGTTGTATTTTTCATGCTTTACAATAAGTTCTTTGTGCTTTTTATAAAATATTCTTTCCCATTCTCACTTTTTGTCTATAATTGTTTACTACTGAAGTTATTCTTGTTCATTTATTTTTTTTAAAAACAGATAATCTGGTATTCATTCTTCAAATTAATTTTTCCCTTTTCCAGAAACATTTTAATACTCAATTGTGTCATAGGTTTTTCTCAACATATTAGTGATAGTACCTATGACATCTGTTTTATTCTCTCTCTTAGTCTTAAGCATCTAGCCACCTCTCTCTCTCCATCTCTCTCTCTCCTTCTATCCCTCCCTCCCTCCCTCTCTCCTCTCTTAGTCCCCTCATTCTCTCTCTCTCTCTCTCTCTCTCTCTCTCTCTCTCTCTCTCTCGCTCTCTCTATCTCTCTCTCTCTCTCAATCTGGGACTCTGGAGCTCTGATCCCTGCTAATATTTTGTGCATAGTTTAATGAAAGAGCTCCTTGTTAGGTACATACATCCTCAAATTCATACTAAATGCTACTTTAACATTGAAAGATGTTAACCAGGTATCTCTGAACACCATTAATGGCAACATGAATCTATCTGCTTTCCTTAAATATCTTATTTTATCCTTGTACATATAGGGGAAAATATTTTACTAAGTATAGCTCCCTAAATGTCAATATTAATTTTCAGAATTCTCTTATCATATTTCACATGACTTTCTTTTTGTGTGATCTTTTTTATTTAAATTAGAAACAATCTAGTTTTACATTTCAATCCCATTTCCCTCTTCCTCCACTCCTCCCATGCCCCCACCATCCCCCTATCTCATTCCCTTTCTGCTCCCCAGCCAGGATCTTCCATGGGAGATCTTCAAAGTCTGTTATATCATTGGAGCAAGGCCTAGACCCTCTCCCGTGTGTCTAGCCTGAGAGAGTATCCCACTGTGTGGAGTGAGCTCTCAAATTCCATTCATATATTAGGGATAAATACTGATTCACGACCAGAGTCCCCATTTAGGTGGTCTGAAACAGTTCTGTACTGTTTTCCCAGTTATCAGTCTGGGGTCCATGAGTTCTCCCGTTGTTCAGGTCAGCTGTTTTTGTGGGTTTCTTCAGCCTGGACTTGACCCTTTGGTCATCATTCCTCCCTCTCTGCAACTGGATTCCAGGAGTTTAGCTCAGTGTTCAGCTGTGAGTGTCTGTTTCAATTTCCATCAGCTACTGGATAAAGGTTCTAGGATGGCTTATAAATTAGTCATCAATCTGATTATTGAAGAAGGTCATTTAAGGTAGCCTCTCCACTATTGCTTATGTTGTTAGTTGGTGTCATCCTTGTAGATCTCTGACATATCCCTAGTGACAGATCTCTCTTTAAACCTACAATAGCTCCCTCAATTATGGTATCTCTTTTCTTGCTCTCCTTTATTCTTCCCTTGACTCAGTCTCTTCCTGCTCCCTCACATCCTCCTCTCCTTTCTACTCTTCCACTTCTCTTTCTCCTAACTCCCTCTCCCCTTCCCACATGTTACCATGACTTTCAATGCTCATTGTTTTAGTGTTTTAATAGTGTGTGATTTCAGCCATGGAGGAAGAATCTCTTGGAATATCATGTGGCAACAAATACATTAAACTTCTTCATTTTAAATAAATCAGGTGCAACTGATAAATCTGATGAGAGGATCTCACAATGCTAAAAGTAGCATGGTCCAGTAAAAGACCAACTGATTACATTTAATTCAACACTGGAAAAATACTAAACTAATCACTCAAAATTTTATAGTACATTTCATTTTCAGGACATCAGGAAGGAAAAGGTCACTTTCTTTTACTCAGTTACTGTTGCACTACTACCTAGCTATATCTTTCTTTTAGTTGCTTGACTGTTGTTTTTCTTTTTAACAAGCCTGTTATCACATACTGGAATACTACTGTAAACTCCAAATAAAAGGTCAAAACTTTAATTGGAACAGAAAAGGTATTGCCGATCCATTCATCTATTATGCTTTCTTATCATAGAGATCTATTATTCTGTGCAAGCCTGGACTTCAGCCTGTTGGAGTACTTGGTCACAGCAGTGCTTAGCGGAAGTGCCCTCTCAATCTTTCCCAAGCTTTTGACATTTTCTGTCTTTGGGGATTCATATTTTGAGTTATTTTGCATGTGAACTCTCCCTTGATGCTACTTTCTTTTACATTTTTAATTTTAATATTTAGTCAGTAAATCATCATTGAGCACCGTCTAGCTTTTAGTATATGAGCTGGAGGATTTGCATGCTTGTATAATTTGCATATATTCATGATTCATTTTTCTTCTTATGACTGTCTTCATTCTCTGTGTTCCCCATTACAGCTAAGCCATTCTTTTTTAGGATCTTCCCAAAATTCAAAGTATTAAGATAATTATCTTCAATATTTTTGGAAAATCCATCAAGAATGAAAAGGATTTTCCATGACCATTTTTTTGTAAGATAGCTCTTGTAGCATAAAGCTTCTTTCATTTTTATATATCTGAAAACACTTTTCCTTCACTTTTGAGTGTTATTTATCCATGTTCCGAACTATTGGTAATTATTATGATATGACTAAATATTTCCACCTTTTTATTGCTAGCATAGTTTTGAAGACTGGTGTTTCTTATTCTCATTAATCTATAGGTAGCATAATTTTTTCCTGTCAGCTCTTTGGAGTCCACATCTTTGTCTTTGATTTTCTGTGCCTAAATGTTAACTTTTACCATTAATCATGTATTGTATGCTCTGTGATTTTTAGATTTGATGTAGGGTTTATTGTTAGTTTTGAAAAATTATTCCTTATTATCACTTGAAGTATTTATCCTAAGTTTCTATCCTTTTTATTTTGTTACTTAAAACAAGTTTATTTACCCATGTACACAGCCTGCCTCACAGATTTTCATGATGTGTCAAGGAAGGCCTCATCCTCCCTCGATGGGATGGTGGTTGGTGGGGGGCATGGGAGGTTGGGAGGGAGAAAGAACTGGCAATGATTTGTAAAATTTGATTGTTTCTAATTTATATAATTCATTTTAAAAAGAAAATGATCAAATGACTGGAATAGGCATTTCTATCTTTATAATATATTATTTTTTATAATTTATATGCTAGTCCTTCAAAATAGCCTGACTGTTCTTTTCCTTTGCTTTCTTTCCTTCTTTCTTTCTTTCTTTCTTTCTTTCTTTCTTTCTTTCTTTCTTTGTCTCTCCATCCCTCCCTCCCTCCCTCTCTCTCTCTCTCTCTCTCTCTCTCTCTCTCTCTCTCTCTCTCTCTCTCTCTCTCTCTCTCTGTCTCTCTGTCTGTCTCTCTCTCTCTGTCTCTCTCTCTTATTGTTTTTGGTGTTGGGAGTTATTTTCTCAGGGTAGAAAGTTTGTAGGCATATATCTGATTTTACTGGCTCTTTCATTAACTGTATCCACTCTAATAACTGAATTATCAGAAAAATGCTGTAACTCTTCTATTTTGTTTTTTGTTTCCTTTGGGCTCTTTCTCATGGTTCCCAGATATTTACTCATCACTCCTTGCATGTTTTTTGTTACAATAACTTCCTTAGCATATTAATTGTAGTCATTTTTATTTTCCTGTTTGCTCATTACAAAGCTTCATCATGACTGATTCTAAATGTTGCTTTATTTTATCAGATTTAGATTTTCATTACATTTGAGCATTGTTTGGAATCTTATTGGTGAAGCTAATCATATATTCCAGGTAATGCTATGGTTTGAATATGTCCTCATTCTCAAAAACAATAGTTGAAATTTGATCACAGTTAAATGCTGTTAGTTGTCTAGGATATTTAAGAGGTGTTTCCATCATAAATGTTCCATCTTTACAAGGGATTATCTGCCTCAGTATACTGTGTGCATTCTTCATGGCTAGTTTAAGTTGTATAAAAGCAAGCAATTGCTCTTGTGAGTCAGGATTAGCTGCTGTAAAATAGGTTTTTGTCCTCTCAAGCTTATACCCTCCTAGGGTTTTGTATTATGCATATGCCACATTTACTTCATTGTTTTATCATATTGTATCACCAAACCCTCAAGAATGCAAGCAGGTGTTAATATCATAATCCTGGGCCTCCAGGATTATCATGAGCCAATATAAACTTATTTTTCTTTTTTTGATTTTCCTCTATCTCATATTTAACTATAGCAACAGAAAGTTGACTATGACAATTAGAATTAGAATTGCCTATTTGTATTAGGTCTGCTTTACCTATCCAGAGCATTCCTTTTTATTTTTTCTAACTTTTACAGAAGCTTTTTAAAAATATTTCATTTGAGTATAATAACTTCAGGTGATACTGAGTTGTATAAAGACCTGTTCATACTCACATATAAGATACTGTGACTCTATTTACAGAGATACTTCTTTATATTCCTCTATTTTAACAATCTAGCTTCTCATACATCTTCTTTGTCACATTTTACAGTTTAGTTTTTATTTTCCTACCATGTATCCACACCTGTTTTATACATTTATGTACAGTCTTGGAACTACAAATAATAGAACATAAGAGATATTTTTCTTTCTGAGTTTGGCCTAATTCACTTAAGTGACTATCTCTGTTTGCCACATTTTTTTTTCTGCAAATAGCACATTTTTTTATTCATCCAAACTATTTTCATGTGGTCACACGATATCACCACAGTCTTATCTACTGTAAAAAAATATCTAACACTTTCCAATCTTTCCATGGAAGAATTAGTGGGGCTCTTGAAGCTAAAATTAAGGAATGTCTGATTTTCTTTCCTACATTTGGTTATTCAGAGCTCTTAAACTCTCCAAAATTTCACTATTAGTCTTCAGAAATACATAAATTACTGTTAAAATATCTTATGTAGCTCACATAATTGATCCTCCATCTCTTGACTGGATACCAGGAGCTTGGTCCTGTGCTTGGCTGTGGATCTCTGTATCTGCTTCCATCAGT